ACTTTGTACTATTGTATACTTTAGAGCATAAGTATGTGATAATAGACTGTGATAATTAATTATAGATGCTTTTTCTTCTAAGTATTGTGTATGCGAAAGAATCTACTAGTACAACCTAGGGTTAGTTGTATACAAACTAGGTTAGTAATATACCCAAACCAAACCTATACCTAGCACGTGCTACCCTACCTATACCTATACCCAGTCACGTGCTACCCTACCCTACCTATAGTCCGTGCAACCCTACCCTACCTATACCTATGGTCCGTGCGACCCTACCCTACCTATACCTACGTCCGTGCGACCTATACCCTACCTATACCCTACCCTAGGTACATGGTACCCATCCGCCAGTCTAGGATAGAGTATCCTACCCTTTGTTATCTTCTAAGGCAAGCACTACCTCTCTACCTAGTATAAGGAGCTGTCTTTAACTTACAACTAGGTTATTACTGTCTCTAAGAACAGCTAGACTAATAACAAGCTTAGTATTAAGTGGCTGAAGCACTTTAATAAGCACACAAAGGAGCGCACTGTTAGCAGCTATCAGCTGCTTATTCTAGACGGCTATAAGAGCTACAATTTAGTTAAGTTCTACTAGTACTGTGAAGAACACAAGATTGTTACCTTGTGTATGCCTCTACACTCATCGCACCTGTTGCAGCTGCTTGACGTGGGTTGTTTTGCCCTAATAAAGAAGGCCTATGGTCGCTAAGCTGAGCTGCTAATACGCAACAAGATTACTTGCATCACAAAACTTAAGTTTTTACCATGCTTTAAAGGAGCTTTTAATGCCTCTATTACTAGGAGCAATATCTAGGGAGGATTTAGAGGTGCTGGCTTGGTCCCCTTTAATCTAGAGGCTGTAATATTAAAGCTTAAAGTGCGCCTATGTACTCCACCACTACCTACTGTAGATAAGAGTACATAGCACTCTTAAACCCTACAGAACACCCTAGAATTTAGGTCGCAATTAAAGCTTATTAAAGAGAGGATTTAATAATATAGTAATAGCTCTCTAACTTTAATAGTAAATGCTCTTAATTAGCTCACTAAGGGCGCAGAGATAATGGCGCATTTACTAGTTTTAGTGCGCAACCAGGTCGCAGAGCTTCAAGCTGCTAATAAGGCCGCCACACGCTGTAAATCACACAAGAGGAAGTGGATCTAGAGGGAGGGGACTCTTACTATTAGTGAAGGAGTGCGCTTAACTACCCTAAAGGAGTTTAAAGCCTGTAATAATAGGAAGAAGGCAAGTAAGAAGAGGCGCGTTGAACTAGGCACTTAGTCTTTACAACGCTGTAGCAGGTGTAGTAAGGCAGGGCATAACGCGCGAACGTGCATAAAAGATGCGCAAGATACTGTAGATTAGTGCTGTATACTGTAAGTTATAGTAACTTGCAGTAACTTGCTGTAATATGCAAGAGAAGTTGAAGTTTGGTGTGGTCTTGGCAAAATCCGGTCACTCGCCCGGGCCGGCCACTCGCCCGTGAGGTACGTTATATGCTAATTGCTAGAAACTTACTATACTAGAGGAGCAGACAATTGTCTAGTATATACTTAACCTTAATTTGTAAGAATTTGCGCCCTAGCTATGTAAGGTAGCAGATATAGCTAATAAGATACTTAGTGTGTGTAGTGAAGAGCCTGTTAGCAAACTATAGGCTAGCAGGCTTGTAATGTGTTTAGACAAGCTTAAAATAGCCTTTAATTAAGCTAAGGATAGAAAGAGGATACTATAGGAAGATCCTAAGATAATTAGCACGTAGTTTAAGCTAGTAGAGGATACTTAAGTTAAGTATAGTATTTGCAATAACTACATATATAACTTTAATAAAACTAGGTTCTAGATAGGTGTTGCTTTGTCTTTAAAGGTTGTAACAGGCTTAGAGAGACGTGCTCAGCTAGAGCTTGTTTAGCCAGGCGATCGCGAGTGGGTTACTGTTATCCAGAGCATCTGCGCTGCTAGGTATGCAACCCTACATTTTATTATCTACAAAGGACGCGTCTTTATCTCTGCCTAGTATAAGGAGACAGATATACCCTATAATTAGAAGCTCTTAGTCTCTAAGAATAGTTAGATAAATAACATGCTTAGTATTAAGTAGTTAAAGCACTTTAACATGCATATAAAGACGTGTTAGGTAGGAGTGTATAGGTTACTTATCTTAGACAGCTATAAGAGCTATCTTAACTAGGAGTTTAAGGACTATTACCTGTAGTAGTCTGGCCAAAGGCCAATAAAGGATATCTACTTCCTAACAACTTTTGCTAAAAAGCATGCACAAGTTAACTAGACGTCTAGTTAACTGCGTAGATAATATATATCCAGCTTAAGCCAAGCCGGCTAAGCTAATGTAACCGGCTAGCTCTAGCTCTTCTTTAGCTTTAGAGTCTAGACCGTTACATTACCTAGAGAACTAAATCCTTACTCTCTATATACTACCTTACTTATTATATATCCTCTAGCTACTTAATATAGTCTATTTCTTACTATTAAAGCGTAAGTACTCCTAATATATTTAAGACTTAGCACACTAATATATCCTCTATATTAATAAGGAAGGCTTCCTACTAGCCTTTAGGGATATATTCCTTAATATATTTATAAAGGTTAACTACTAAAAGGCCTTTAAGGTATTAGGGCTTATTCCTACTAATATATAGGTAGTGTTAGATTACCTTAAAGTGCAGCTGTATACCCTACTAGCAGTACCTCTACCTAAAATACTATAGCAATCTAAGACACTAAGTAATATATATAAGTTTAGGTCTTAATCTAAGCTTATAAGTAACTCCTTCTAATAATTACTAAGTGTAGT